TACAAGGACCAAAATTGAACAAATAAGAAAAGCAATACCAACTCAGAAATAAATAGTGACTAAAATAAAATAACATAAAATAAAGTGCCAAAAACATAAATAAATAGAACAGGAAAAATGAAATATCAGTGACTAAATTGAAATTAATAAAACTAAAGTGATAAAAATAAAATAAATAAAAACGTAGGGACTCAGGAACTAAAATATAACACACGAAAAGATATAAGGGACTAAACATAAATTAAACCAAAATTATCTAACATGCATCAAAAATGGGTAAACTATAAAATCAGTCCCTACAGGTGACCATTTTGTAAAACACGCTTAACTTAGGGGGACCTAAGTGCAATTTTCCCCTAAAATTTCCTATAAATATCAACATTTTTCTCTTTGTTTTTCTTTTTTTCATTTTTTCGTTTAAAATAGGTTTTAGAGAGAGAGAGGGTCTCCCATTTCTCTAGAAAATCAGCGGGTGGCAGGTGGGTTACCTTCGCCGGCCGTCGTCGCCGTCGTCGCGCCGATCGCTGTCGTCCTCCACCGCGTCGCCTTGCCGTCGTCGTTATTTTGGTGGTCGATGGCCACTAAATTAAATCGGGAGGTCCGTCTTGGTCTCCCCATCTCTGATCTTGCCTCCGTTTCGTAAGAATCGGCACTGTTCATTGCAAAAAAAACCGAAATCGTTTGACTTTCCTCTCTCCGATCTACCGCCGTAAGCCGATCGATTATCCCAGTTTTCAAGTATTTTGTTCTCCATCAACGTTTCTATATATTCTCCATTTAGATCTTGGAAATAAGGCCCCGACCGCCAGTGAAACTTCGACCGAATAGGTAAAAACTCACTTTTTCTTCTTGATGTGATTCAATTCAGCATCATGGATATTCCACCCTTACAAGGGAAGAGAATTTCTAACTTTACACATATATATGCTTATTTCAAATATTTTAATATAGTTATTTTCATCTACATATACTATATCTATAGTTATTATGATGATAACTTATCCATTAATATGCGAGATATAAGTTATCATAATATACTATAGTTCACATTCTTATATAATACATTATATAAGTTCATAAGGAGAGCATAAGAAGCAAATTGGTGAAAAGTTGTTTGAGGCCGTGAGCTCATAGCTGGATTGAGCTGAAAATTTGTCCTAAGTCAAAATTGATTGAGGTCGTGAGCAAATTGGTGAAGATTTAAGCTACAAGATGACCTCATTTGAGTTGGGGAGCTGCACCATCATCATAACCACTTAGGACACTTCAAATATGTCCTAAGTCAAAATTTGTGGAATCGTACCTTTTCGCGAATAGTTGCCAACTCAAGAGGTACCTTTTCACAAGAAGCTGCCATAATGTTCACCATGCTACAAGTCACCTATGGCTAGCTCACCTTTAGCTCATTCACACCATAAGTAGCTCAAACATGAAGGAACACCTCTCTCAAACATTGTGACCTTTCATGAATGATGCTGCCCATGAAGATGCCTTTACATCCAAGAGCATGCTGATGCAGATATTGTAATCGTTGGAGGCTTAAATCACCATGGGACATGATATAAAGCTTCATATATATTCAGCCACATCATATACTATACACATGAGAGCATTTGGCACAACATGAGGAGATACAAACCCATTCGACCAGAGAGAAGAAAAATGGCGCCAAGTTGAACAAGCATCACCATTCGGCCAAGGGAGATGTCTTCCCATCCTTAGTCGAATCATCCAGTCCCTTTATGAAGGGTTAGCTGAACCATCACAAGCCCAAATGACTTAATCATTCATTTTAAGCATTATGTACTTTCATCAAAAGCCATGTATCAACCGAACAACCATGTAACCATTCGGCCAAGCCCTCTCATTTCCTATAAATAGAGTGGCTTGCCATCATTTGTACTCATCTCATCTCTTATATAAAATATACTCTTGTGAGTTATTTCTCTTCAAAGTTCTTTGAGAACTTTATTGTTAAACAAGTATAGTTTCTATACTTGTGGCATCATTCCTTCCATTTTGATTAAGCAAGTTTGTGAAGACCGAGATTGTGCTTCATAGCATAGTTTCCTCTTTGGTGTGTTTGAGATACAACATCACCACCATTGTCATTTCATCATCAACATCATCCATCTCTTCCATCAATTCTGCAACCATCTCTATCATTTCTTTATTTCATTTCATTCTTATTCTTTCATTTCATTACTTATATTATTATTCCCTTTATTAAGTCCATCATTAATCATATTTCCTTTCTTATTTTGTTCAGCCCAAGCTTATAAATTCAAGGACATCAGTACTTGTCAATCCTAGATCGGGACACAATAAAGTTATCTACTCTCTTCCATCAAAGCGTGTAGATTCGCCTTACGTCACTTCTTTTTTCTTTAATATATTATTTTGAATACAAAGATGTATGAATGTATATATATCAAATAGAAAGAAAAAATTGCTTCAAGATTTCAGTTATTTGATTGCTAATATAATTGTTTTACATTGTGTTTGGAAAACCCGAGAGCCCCTCTCGTGGTTCCTGGAAAAACCCGAACCCTTTGCCCCCCGAGTTATTTCAATTTTATCCCCCTGTTTTTCCCTGCTTTTCGAAAGCCCCCTCTTTTTTTTCTCTTGTTACATATCTCACAAATAAAGGGAAAAATGGCTGATGTTGTTGTTATGGTTGTTGGATGCCTGTTGATAAGGCATGGAGGTGGCGTGTAAAATGGGATGACAGGGCATGGTGGTTTGATCGGTTGGTGGTGTGCTGTTGCTTCACGTGGGCTTGGCAGGGCAGTTGGTGGGATGGTCACGAGTCGGTCTGGATCCGGGTCGGGTCTGGATTCGGGTCAAATCTTGGTAGGCCTAGATCAGTTGTAATTGGGCCTGTCTGAGTGGGCTGCTGGTTGGGCCTCGGGTTGGGCCCTGTAAAATGTAAAAAAGTTAATAATAATAATAATAATAATATTTTTTATGACCCGAACAAAAGCGGGTGTCTACAGTTATCGTTGTTTTCATCATTTTCTTTTTCGTCATCATTCTGGTTGGTTGCATTAGCCTTGTCGCCACCATCCTCCTTACCCTGCAGCCGACTCCAGTCTCTTTATCAGAAAATTCAGAACCAGAGATGGCAATTACTATCTCATCACAACCAGGGACTGCCTCCTCAATTTTGACATTTGTACCAGTTTCTTGAAGAATTTGTGATACTAAGCTGCCACCTTCGCGATGACACTAACAAATTTAGCTTCAGGGCATAGTACACGAAAAACTATACCACCGACTGAAACTTTAGGTTTTCCTTACTTTTGCAACTTTCATTTCCCATTTGGCTCTGAAGGGCTCCTATCATGTGGGCTCTTGGTAGGTGTTAATGGAGGAGACATGGCTGAAGGGTTAATTCAAGTAACTGTTTCAATCCAATGCAAATAAGAATTCCATAAAATAAAATTGAAACTTACAAAGAAAACATGAACAAAGTTATAAAATCATCCATGCCTAGTATATCACAAACTCATCAGCTCGTCAATTTAGGTCTAGAAAGGCATTAACAAGAGGAAACAAGGGGAAACAAACTTAATGGGAAAAAGCCATAGGTCTGTTTCCTTTTCCCATTAGTTAACTAATGGGTAATAACATCTCATAATTAAAAAAATTTGACACGTTGAAATATCTTGCAGTTAAGCTGTCGTTGAACACCTGAAGGAAAAATCAAATTGCATAAAAAGGAACACAACATTTTTTTTTAAAATAAATATTACTCCCCTCACAGTTACCATTTTCCTAAAACTTATATTACATGTAAATTAGTATGAATCTCCAGCACCCAAAAAGGAAAAAGAATTCAGTGATAGCTTCAAGGAAAATTAGGATTGGATATAAAAGGGATGGAATAGCTTCTTTGAAACTTGGGAGTAGGTTTCTATTGTAATACTTGATGAACCGTGTTCCAACGGGTTATTCCGGGATCATGACCCTTTCTTTGAAACTAGGGAATAAGTTTTTATTGTAATACGATGAACCGTGTTCCAACGGATTATTCCGGGATAATGACCCTATTTGATGAAATAGGCTCACTCGGCCCACACCATAACAATGAATCGTTTTTGGTTCTGCATTCGATAGGTTAAATTGCATTTTTTTTGGATAATTGCATATTTAATTAATTTTTTAAATCATTAATTAATTTTTTAAATCATATATTGTGTTATATTTTTAGTGTTGTGAGTGTAGTAGTTTTTTTATTTTGTTTCGGTGATGACCTGATATTACTTTACAGGAACTTGTAAACATTACTGTTATTTTTTTAATGACAAGTAATAAAAATATAAAATTAAATATTGATAGACCATAACAAAATCACGAGAATATATAAATAACTAAATATGTAATTTGCCTATTTTCATATAAAAAGGGTTGCGTAATGTCAAATTATTTATCTGACCCCATAAAACTCGATCCAAAACGAATTGGGGTTTGGAAATAGGTTCGTAAAATATAGTTTAGTTAACGTGGTAAAAGTCAAATCAAAATGAATTAATTAAATTACTATTTTTATTTGAATTAATTTAATAATAATTTAATTTTAAAATTAATTTAATTAATTGAACTCTTTTTTATCTTTATTTTTAATCTTTTTAACTGTTTCATATAATTTTTTATAATTTTGTGGTTTTTTTATCTTGAGTTTTACTTTAAATGAAAATGTTAAGGGACAGAATATTATAGATAAAAAAATAAAGGTTAAAGTAATTATTTGACAAATATTAGGGACTTTTTTCATTAAAATAAAAAAATTGAGACAAAATACTAAAGAAAATAAAGATTAAAATAATTATTTTAATAAACATTAGAGATTTAGGCATTATGGAAAACAAAACTACACAAGTAATATTCTCTGTAATTTACACTAAAATCAAATGAATGGATGTGTTAAATCAGACAAAGTGGTTCAGTGAAAGGCATTAGCTCGGAAGTAGTAAGTATCCAAAAGCGTACAACCTGAACGGGATCTGCAGATCCAGTTGAAGACACAACAGTGAGTGAAACCTAAAGCCAAGAAGATGAAGGCGTTGGGATGGTGGTTAATGCAGGTGGGTTCACTTCGATTAGCCTCCGTTTGGTTCGGCTTCTTCGACATTTGGGCTCTTCGTCTCGCCGTTTTCGCCAACACCTCCAGTGAGTTTCTTTCTCCCATTAATCGGTTGCTTATTCCCTTTGTAACATTTGTTTCGATATTTTGAAGATTCTTGTAGAAAAAAAGATGTTAGCTTTGTTGCTTTGGGAACACTGTTTTTGGAAAGCTAGTTGCATCGAATGAACTAATTTGTTTTTCTTCTAAAAAATTAAACGATAATTGAATTGAATTGTGTAACACCCCAATTTAGGGGATAAATTTAAGAAATTATAAAGTGGTGAATTTAATTAGAATTTTGGAAGGAAATTGAGGATTACATTGTATAATCACAAAGTTGGCAGAGCATTATAAGAAGTACAAAAAGTTCAGTTACTAAACTCATAGTTTACCCAATTTTATTATGAGTTGAAATATAATCCTCCGTGCGCAGGTTTTTGAAGAATGATTTCCCAGTTTTTCCTCTCCAGCAACCCTCCTTTCAACTCCGATCTACTCGTCGTCTGACCTCCGATCGACGAACCGAAACCACCATCGTGTTCGTTGTCGACCGAGGAACAAAACCCCTCAAACCTTTTGTCATGAATCATCTCCGTTCGCCGTTAATTTTAGTCGAAAGTATCATCGGTAATAACTCAATTTCAGTTGATTTTTCGTCGATTCACGACGATCCGATGATTCGTTTACGACACCTCCTGCACCATCGTGCTCCTTGCATCGTTCTGAGTCCGCCGGTGTCATCCCTGATCTCCATCGACGGCATCGCGTGAGGAGGTGAAGCGGTCAAAGTTTTCGATTCGTCGGAATCGAGCTTTCCGCCATTCAAAATTGTGAACCGAGCTCTGTAAGTGCCTTGAAATCGCTTAAAATAATTATTAGGAATTATTTTTTGGGACTTTTCAGACACCATAGCACTGTTCATGCGCCGCACGCGCCACCCCTGAGAGTGGCCATCGTTTGGGTGATAATTTTGTAATTTATTTCTATTTGGGTGCTATTTGTATAAAATTCGGGTGTTAGTTTGGTAAATATTTGCAGAATGTGGCTAATTTGGTAATTAATTTATGTTAGGGTGATATTTATGTAAAATGGTCGAATGTTGACTGTTCTTGCGTTGACCGTTGACCGGCGTTGACCGGGCATTAAACAACCTTTGACTTTGACTGAGTATATCTATCCTGACGTTTTTCGACATTCTGAATCCGATTCCGCAGTCCGTTTTTTGAAATTCGGATCCGAATGTCTCGAAATTGCCAGTCAAACCCGTTGACTTTGATTTTGACCGAAAAATCCAAATTTTGGAAAAGTCATATTTTATGCTTTCGACGTCCTGAATCCAAATCTGAAGTCCGTTTCGCCAAATTCGAACTCGGTAAGTTGTTTTTCACTGATTTATCATCCGATTCGATCCGTTTTTCAGAATTAAGCTCCGTTTTTTATGTAATTTCTGTTGATATGGATCCGAGGAAATATTGGAAGATGATTTCAAGTTCGAGGGCGTTCGAATGGAATTTAATGGTCGATTAGTATTGCACGGAAATCGAGATAATACTTTATTATCTCTTTATGCTTTATGGAAAATGTGAATATTGGTAAATGCATGATTAAGATAATGTTAATCTCATTGTGTAGTTAATTAATTTTTATACTCGATCTGAATACGGTAAAAAGGTTCAGTAATTGATTATGGTTCAGATGACTTTTATAAGAAATTGAGGGATTGTTAGGATTAAATTATAAGTTATGTGCTTAGTGATAAAGAAATCAAAATGGATCTGTAACTTATAATTTATTTCATCAAAGGTTAAATGTTAAAGGTACTTGGATGAGAAATTATGAGAATACTCCGGTAGGGTAAAATTTCGGAAATACCCTTATGTTATAAAAAGACAAGATTTGAATATGGAAGATGGATAAGAGGTTTTTACAGACATATTGATCTGATAAAAATATTGATGTGCATAAGAAATGTTAGTTTTACTTGGAAATTATGGATAACCGATATTAATCCTAGGAGGGTTTGTGAAGGATACTAGAAATCGTTTCAAGATCAGAGAGTGTTCAAGAAAGTAATTAATCATAGGATCTCTAAATTATATTATTTTCGTTAAAAGCTAATGTCGAAATTATCTAGTTAAGAAATTACAAAAATGCCCTTGAGAGATAAAATAGTCTGAGTTGATCCTGAATGATAAAGTACTTTGAGGATTTGTACTTAACTCGATTAAGTACGAATTTAATTGTTAAGGTCCTGTCTTTGTATAGAAAAATTCATGATATTCCGTTTGTAAAATTTGAGAAGGCACTTGACCCAAAAATATTCGAGTAATGAGTAAATACCTAAAGAATAATTTATGGGGGGTATTTTGCTGTCAGAATTGTTCGAAAGGACTGAAATAAATGATAAGATTGAATTTAATAGTAAGATTGGACGGAAGAAAATGATTAAAATACACTGAATCTGTAAAATGACCAAAATACCCATGTAATGGAAATGACCCAAGAATATCACCAAGCTTAGAAATGATTGGATATCCTCGAGCTCTGAAGTGAATGGAATAAAACTGAATACCAAAATTTACCAAAGTAACCTTATGGCCTAAACTAAGTAAATGCCTTGGATTAATTAAGGAATCTGTTGAAAACATTTTGATATTTCGATATAACAAATTAAGTTAAATGAATTTTAAGATTTTCCAAAAAGATTTTCTAAAGTATATTCGATATAATTATTCGAATATCAAAATAATACTCCAAATCTTTCAAATGTCACTTTTAATCCTTACTCAAGTGTAATATTAAGTTTTAATCTTAAAATAATTTCAAAACGATTTTTACAAAATATTTCGAACCATCTCAAAGCCAAAAATTCCATATTGCTCAGAGGGAACTGATTCCCCCCAAGGGGGTACCGATTCCCCCTGAATGGTTTGGCTCCGAGAATTCCAGTATGCTCGGAGGGAACCGATTCCCCCCAGGGGGTACCGATTCCCCCTTTTTAACGGTCAAAATATTTGAATTTTACACTTAGGGAACCGATTCCCCTTAAGGGGTACCGATTCCCCCCACTCTCCAAACTATTTTATTAATTGATTTCACACTAAAACGACTATATTATCTTCATTAATGATCCCCCAACATTCAGAAGTGATTCAAGGTGTATTTAAGAAAGCTTAGAAGCCATTGATCAATAACAAGAAACATCAAGCAACTAGAATCAAGAGAGAATCAAAGAGAAAGCATCAAACCTCAAGTTTGAGCATTTCAAGCCTATTTTTCATTCAATATTATTTTTGCTTTCAAGAACACTTATTTTGCTCAATTGTATTCATTCTTGAGTGTTATTTTCTTTATTCTAGAATTGTGCAAACAATCTACCTTGTGAGGATTTCCTTGTAAGTTTGCAAATTTGTATTGTTCTCTTTGGGAGAGAGTGTTCTCGAGAATTTGGGGTATAATTCTTGAGGGTTTGTAAGGTTACTCTTTGTCCTCAAAAGAAAGACAAATTAGTGAATTTGTGGAAAATCCTTAGTGTGGATAGCTAAGGTAGTGGACGTAGACTTTGGTTGAGAAAGTCGAACCACTCTAAATCGATGTGCAATTTCTTGCAATTTTCTGCAAAAGCTTCCACCAAAATTTTTATTGCCAATTCACCCCCTCTTGGTCGATTCCGTCAATCGATTAAATCAATAATTGACATCAGAGACCAACTCATTTGAAGGTTTAATCGCCTCTTGAGTCGATTCGGGAAGAGTTACATTGATAATCAAAGTCATCAATGGCTTCTACTTCAAACTTCGACTCCGGTCTTGATTCGATGCCCGTCAACAAGCCTACTTTCTTCAATGGGGCTAATTATGCCTATTGGAAAAATAGGATGATGTACTTCTTTCAAGCAAGTGACATGGGAGCATGGAATGTCGTAGAAGAAGGATACTTCAAGCCTCTCACTCATCCAAGATTATGGAGTGAAGCAGAGACAAAAATGTTCCAGCTCAACTCCAAAGCCATCCATATCATATTTTGTGCTCTTGGACCAGATGAATACGGAAGAGTTTCATCTTGTACAACAGCCAAAAAAATATGGGACAAACTTCAAGTCACTCATGAAGGTACCGATGAGGTAAAGAAATCTAAAATTAGTATTCTAACGCATAGCTATGAAAATTTCAGGATGAAACCAAATGAAGATATCAAATCTATGACGGATAGATTCTCAATGATTGTCAATGGTCTCAAATCATATGGAGAGATCATTTCAAATGAAAAGCTTGTGAGGAAGTTAGTCTACTCCCTCCCAAAGTCGTGGCAATCAAATAAGACGGCAATCATTGAGTCTAAAGATCTAACATCCTTAACTCTTGAAGAGCTAATCGGTTCACTCCTCACTCATGAAATGATGCTTGAAGATGAGGTGGACCTTGATAAGATTGAAGAGACACCAAAGGACAAGGAGAAGAAGAAAAACATTGGAGTTGCTCTCAAATCCACAAAAAATGAGAGTGATTCGGATGAAGATGACGATGACGATGACGAGGAAATGACATTGTTTGCCAAACGGTTCAGAAAAATGATGAGACCTTACCGAGGAAGAAAATTCAAACGAAATGAAGGCCTAAAAAATGAACCAAAAGAGAAGGACCTGATCATTTGCTATGAATGCAAAAAGTCGGGGCATGTCAAATATGATTACCCATAACTGAAGAGAAAGGGACAATCAAAAAATAAGCACACAGCTCATATGGCTACATGGAGCGATGAAGAAGGTTCCGATGAAGAGGAACAAGAAGTAGCAAACTTGTGCTTGATGGAATTCGGGGAAGATTCTAAGGTAACCTCTAACTCATATGATTTTGATGATTTATCCTATGATGAATTATTAGAAGAATATAATGGGTTGGCTACGGATTATGATAAATTGTTTTTAAAATATAAAAATGATATTTCAAAATTGAAAAATGAAAATAAACTCATATCCAAAACCAACAACGATCTTGAAAGTAAAATCAAATATTTGCAAATCAAACTAGAAGAGTTTGAAAAG